CACAAAGAGAATGTATTTAAAACGAGCATTCCTTGATAATATGAAAACGGGATAGGTAAAGGGTCGTGCGTCTTTTACGGAAGTCAGCATCAAGTTTGGGGACAGCATTGCAACTATGGAAATGTTTGTTCCTCTACTTTATGTGCAGAGCTCGGTTACATTTTGGAAAGCTGTATTGTCCGTCTCGTTTTCATACCACCGCTGAGCAGTCCTTCTCCCTCACCCGTGACTCAGTTAAACCACAAATTCAGACCTGTAACATTTGTAACATAAACTGCTCTTAACACTGCGCCATAGCAGAGTATGTTTGGAGGGTGGGGATCGCACAGCGACCGCGCTCTGTACAGATAGAATGAGTGCCAAAAGCACTACAGCCTGGAGAAGTTAAAGGTGACATTTGTTCAGAATTAAGCCATGTAAGGTTTAGTGGGTCTGGAAGGGGAACCCACACCTGTTGGCGTCCAAAACTAAGACGTTATTCTGGACTATATGCCTCCGAAAGAGCGCGAGGCGTAATATGGATCTCAGCGCTCGTGCTCCCGTAAAAGTATTACGTTCTCATATGTGCAATTGTGACATCTGTACGGTTTCTGCACCCAGATGTAACAAATCACATATAAATGCGAATTAAATTGACAGCATTCGTTTTATTACCCGTACAACTTTTTATCCACTGACAAGTGAACACGTGCAGCTGGTACTTTAAACTTCAAAGAAGGGAACTGCTGAAAATCCCTCCTCAAATGCGTTTCAAATCCTTATTCTGTGGTGCTTGTATCATTCTGCCTTCATTATGTATAAATTAGCCAGAACTACTGTTAAAGTAAACACGTTCTCCGTGTTAATGGCAATACCTGAGAAGTTGGAAGAATAGAGGCATCTTTGGTCTTTCGAGCTTCGGCGGCTTAGTGCGAAACCCACCATATCGTCTTTCAGGGTAAGAAAGAAGAGAGACGTTATACATCAAGACGGCGGTCACTTTGAAATTGAAGGCGACGAAACAAGATATGCAAACAAGCTGAAGGAAAATTCAATGCCTTATATCAGTGTTTTAATGACTTACTGCGCCACTAATTCATTTAACGTTCAACTTTTAATGTGCATTTGTTAATATGACCTGGGTAAACAGAACCTAATTTTTACGGCCTTAAGCTTATTTAGAACTTGTGCTGTCAAGAAAAACACGCGCCCTTAACTTCACACGAGGTGTACCCTTACTCTCCCCATATATTGATATTAGCAAATGACTTCGGAGGTGGAGCTAAAAAAAAAAGAAGTTATTTTGGGTTTATTAAGTATTTACGGTCGAAACAGACAGATAGCGTCTAGCGAAGCTTAAAGCACATTGACTCAAAAACAAAAGCCCGATGAATGACGTCTTGTGTTCTTATGGAAACTGTTTTTAGTTTGCTTAAATTATTTCCTCCTTCTGAAGCTGGCGGGATGTTATAAATTAACATTAATATTGGTAATTTCTAGAATTTCCCCCATTTCTATTAGTTTAATAGTCGAGGAGGCTGAAAGATATGGGGGGGGGGGGGTTTGACACATAGGCCTACGCTTAAACATCTGGCAAGGAGTGTAAGTCTACCTAACATCATTTTTAATTTGCATTAGCATTTTTCTTCTAATAATACATTAGCAGCAATTTTTATTTTCCAAACTATGTTCTCGAAAACCCGGTCATCACATTTCGTTGATTAGAGTCAAGACTTCTGGCTTCTGAACACTAGCACACTGGCAGGGCAACGTACATAACAAAGTATTGGAGTCAGGCATAACTGAAATTTGCAAAACAATATACAAAGATGAAAACAAACATCAGATATTCGGAAACAATGTATTCTATACCACAAGTCAAATAAATTGGCCTACACCATAAGCGTCGTATAAATATATCTAATCAGTACATAGTTGCAGCCACATTTAGCCAAGTTTTAGCTGTAGGGATCTGTTGTACTGTTTCGTTTCCCACTTGCAGACAATGAATGCAATGGGACTGTACGGGGGATACTGCGAGAAACACAGCGCCTCGACGGATCGATGAAGACCATTATAACGAACCATTGTGCGAGACCAATTTGCCTTACAAAACTCCCAGTTTCATTTCTTGAAAGTCGTTGCTAATCTTTATATTCAGCAAAAATCGAATGAAGAATAAATTGTTATCTTTCAATTACACTGTCGGACGCTGGACCTATTAGTGATAAAATAAAAACATTACTCACCCTGTCTCGCGCTTGATGGGACAATCTCGGGCAAAGGCTACCTTCAACAGCGGGCCTTTATTTAATTAGAGTTCCCCTAATTTGTTTTTAGTTACTTCACAAATTCTCGGGTTGGGAATTAATCAATTATACTGGCTTGACTGTCTCATAAACAGGTACAACGTTTCATTTACTCGGGAATGTTTTAGCGCCACTTACATTTTATGGTTAAAGTAGCAGTATAGAAGTAAGTTTTGGTATTCTACACTTCAGAATTGTGGAACATGCATACAGACAATCATAAAATTACGACTACAGAAACAAAAAATACGCATCTCCATCGCTATTGTTGTTTCTGTTCGTTCCATTAATGGTGACGATAACAAAAATATTTTGGGGGGATGGAGGGACCGATTATTATTCGAACACATTAATTAAACTTCACGAATGTATTTATCCTTTAATAAATTTGCATAATTTATATTTGAATTAAAATTGCAATTAAACGATAAAATTTTTATAAACTTGTATTAATTATTACAGCGCGGCTCGTTATTATTCTATTACTTTTGACAGTACAGTCATTTAATATGAAAACGGAGAATAAATGTTACAAGTTGAGTACCATCCTTGTTAGACACAAGATGGAACTTAACGTTTAACTTTTAATTCTAAATTGTTGTGTTTTGTTGCCCTCTTCTGGTGGAAGTATTGGCAAATCATTGCACAAGTCGTTCCTGTTTCAGTGCGATACATTTTGCAACATGGAAGTTAAAAGTTATACCGTACTTGCACAGGCGCGGTAGTGCACGACTTGCCAGTGATAAAAAACAATTGTTTTTATATGAAAAATAATTCATGTTATCCGTCTGTGCACGTAGCGTCCATAGTCGGTTATTCAGTCATGTTCGCGGTGATCCGTAACCTGTCCCAGGAAATATATTACTTCGCAACGAAGGTTACAGTCTATCTTTATGCAGTAGGGAACTAGTACACAAAACATTCGCAAATTAAGCATGATTTAGATTCACAGAGTCACCTAAGCAATGTGTTTTTATACTTTGAAGGAAAGCAGAGACAGAAATTTAAAAAAGCGTACATTACAGTTAACCATTTGCTTCATATGAAATATACAACAGCGCAGAAGGCCGAATTAAAAACTAGTCAGTAATGTATATTTAAAAGAGAGTGTCTGTGTATGTTTATGGCAAGACTTGCTCATCTTCTAATCAGGGGGAAATGAATGAACGGATTAAAAAAAACACATTATTTAGTAATACTGACCCCTAAACCTCCCAGCTGCAACTGCAACACGGCAAGCCACGCTTAATCTGATTTAATACATTCCCGAGGCCTCTAACATTATACCGAGACACAAGAAGAAAATGATTAAGTTGCTAATAAAGCTGTTTAAGACTAGTTTCTCCGGCCGCTAATGATAATTAACATGCAAATGAGCTCTGGGACACAGGAGTGGCACTGTGGTCCTCAGTTTGTTACTAGCTTAATTACTGTTTGAGCGGTCTAACGTCATGGTTATGAATGGTAGCATTCCAGGTAATGGGCAGAACAATAATTAGGGTTATGACACGTAAAGAAATTTGTTTTGCTTCTTTACAGCAGCCTGAGCCTGGTAATCAATCGAAATATACCGTGGTGTGCTGTGCTGCCTGATCGGCGTGTGATAAAAATGAAACAACAGCAGCGGAGACAATTCCCTTAAGATCTGGCCTCCATTGTTTCTCCATCAAGCGATCTGCCTGATTGATCATGCAGGGGTAATGAAAGCTGACGGAGAAAATGGGCAGGACAACTTGGAGCACCTGCGATCCGCTCCAGGACAAACTGCCACTGTGCCACAGCGCGAAGAAAAAATATACCTGCTTCAACAAAAATAAAAATTCAATAAAAATGAACCGTTTTGCATTTAAATCACTGAAGCTCGTAGGCCTGTTTCACAACAGGGGCCCACACACGTGTTTAAATTTAAAAATTTGAACGAATATTAGGTTTCCATTAGCACCTCCCGCATTTTTCAGCTCTGCCATGCAACACTAACTTCCTAATTAAAAAATCCCTTAATTGGTTTTCTTTAATTAAGTATTACATTATAATTTACACCACTTGACAGCTGTCAAGCGCCACGGAATAATTTAAGGCAGAGAATGTTCATTTTAAATGACTTTTAAAAACAAGCTGGCAAAGCCGGGAGATTTGACATTAAATACCATTACTTTCGTATTTAATTAACCACCCTTGAGCGGTAAATAAATGTTAATCAACAGAAAGCAGCGATGAGGCCATAACACAATGTACTGAAAAGTAAGCTTAAGTCGGGTTAGTACGGCAATGTGTTTATTTGCTCCTAACAAACTTTACCGGGGGGGATCTTATTTAACGGAATACGTTTATGAGCCGAGAAACGTGGCCAGTGAGAACTTTCTCTTTCCACAAACAATCAATTCAGAATTTAAAGATCTATAGATCGAGAGGCAGGTCATTGCTGCGGGAGCGCTGCTTGTCTGCGGTAAGGAGGCCGCTGGAGGGAACCTCCTCCGGCCGCCAGGAGACGGCGGGAAACACGGGGCCGGGACCAGCTTACTCAGAACCACTAGGCTATGT